ACTGCAAAACAAAAATAGCCCTGGATAAAGAAGCTAGAAAAAAAGAAATGTAGCTTATTCATCTAAAATGGAAACTTTTTACAACTCCAGAACCAGAAAGATAAGGTGAATGTGAAATCAAAGAAGTTTAAAAATCAAGAATCAGTTGATCTTGAGCCGAAGCAGACGTTGACACTGAACAGGTACAAGAACCTGTAGTAGTAGACCTGCCAATTGTTTATGAAACTGATCTGGGTTTATGAAAAATAGTTTTACCAAACATGCATTTTCATTATATCAGTACCGGTGGCGTTGAATGTCAACATAAAGATGAACGGTTTTTGCAATTGAAACTCTCGGACAGTAGTATAAATCAAAACAGGTATTGCACTACTTTATTATTTACTCGATACCATAAATGAACTGGTCATAATTCTCAACGTACCTGGCTTAGCAACTTTTATTGTTTCAAGTTTAGGCTTTTACTATCGATATAAAATACAATTCCCTTTTTACACTAGGGTTTAATCATTTGAAAAATGGACAACGTGATGTTGAGCTACATAAAAACAGCAACGTTGTGTAATTGGTTGTGTAGATAAGTAACTGGAGAAATCAATCTTAAATGAATTTAAGTATAGGTTATCTTTTCTGCGGCGGACAGTGGATGTGGTAAATATTTTAACTGAGCGTGGTTTGCCACTTTGTGGACATAAATAAAAATTTGGTTCAGTACACAATAGTAACTGTATGGGCATACAAGAGCTATTAGCTCTTTACGATCCTTTTTTGGTTGTACATATTGATAAGCATGGCTACCCAGGTCGCGGTAAAACATCATACTTATGTTCTACTGTCTGTGATAAACTCATTAATTTGATGGGTCAAAAATTACTTTTTTTTATTGTTGATGAAATACAAAAAGCAAAGTACTATAGTACAAAATATATACTTGATTTAACACCTGACCTTTTCGCACGTCGATCAGTTGTCTATGATAGTTCGTTATGTAAACAAAGGTAAACCAATTGAGCGTTTTTTGATATTCATTAAGTTTAAAAGTCACACTGGAATTGGATTATCAAATGTATTACTGGAGTTCTTAGAGAAAAAAAGTAATGACATTGACGACTGTTGTAGTCAGACGCATGATAATGCGTCAAGTATGGTAAAATTCGAAAAGAGGCGCTTGGACTAGCAAAATGTCTTGGTGAATTGAAAACTAGTACTTTGACTGTCATTTGGTACACGACACTGCAAAGATTAAATAAAACAAATTTAGCTTTATTAGGTGCCAATTTAGATTTAAATAAAA